CCCATACCCATAGGTCGGTATCCGAATCCGCCCATACCCATAGGTGGGTATCCGAATCCGCCCATACCCCATGGGTATCCACCATAAAACTGAGCACTGGATAACAACGTCAACTGAATTACCAGGACGAAAAGAACAGTCGCTTTGTTCATTCCTGGAATGAATATTAGATTATTCTACATGTCGTACTTATAAAACTGTGCCATGTGCATGAAAATACACAATAACGGGGAATTTAGGCTTGAAATCAAGTTAATACGTTGACGACCGTGTCAGACAATGGTGGGCGTCAGCCAGTCTGTCCCATGGGACGATGTCAGACAATGCTGTCCGACAGTATACTGCTCTATGATAAATCTGTGCAAACAATCGAGTTCATTGAATTCGTGTCCCCAGGGCGGGCTAGCTTGACGCTCTGAAACGAACACCACCATTGTTTGACATGAACCACCTAGCGCCCGTGCCACAGGCGCAGGCGCTAAAATACTATAAATCACCAAATAGCTGAAAACTTGTCTCCTGATGTAGTTCGACCCCTTCGACATGTATATCGCACTCGCTTGCCATGATACTCTCTGGCGCTCGCGCCATAGGCGACGGCGCCAAAATACTATGGGCAGCAAATTTGCTGAAAACTTGGCTCTCGCAGTCCGACACCCTGAACATGAGTATCACAGCTCCTCAACGCGAAACTGGCTAGCATTCGTGTTACTGGCGCGGCATGAGATGCATGCATTGACCAGTTGCATGTAGCGCGGAACTATTACCATTACTATTATATATTATTATATTATTTTTGTTATTATTATACATGATTAGCGTGAGGCGGAGGCGGTGTAGTGACAACCACGCTCTTACCTCGCGTGGAGCCGGGTGAGGATAAAACACTGACTTGTACATCGGCTGGCCACCGCAAGTCATTGTATAGGCCACATCGCATTCAATAAGCCACTACGATTCTGAATGGAAGTAGAATGCGTGCCGCATCCCACAAAGGGATTGATCAACGGCGAAGACTTTATCCTTTATCTTTCATTATTTGTACTATATATTATACTGTTTATTATAATATCTGGCGCCAGCGCTTGTGGCGCGGGCGTCGGGCAGTTTCGTGCGGAATTCATGCTTGGGAGCTTCAACTACCAAAAAGGCTGTCTGGTGGCCTTCCAACATCTTGTTCAGAGAAAAAAATTTTGAGAACTGGCCTGATTTTGGAAGACTGGGAGAGCAAATGTAAGGCGTCATAGATTCGAGATTCATATGCTCGCCTCCGGCATTTATTAATGCTTTTTGATCAGAATTATCGATTTATTTGAAAATTACTGAAGCTCAATGACGAAAAGTGTGCCGTCTCATGTGCAATTCATGAGGAAAATTGCTCGTCGCCAACGTGTTAAGTGCGCTATGCTGGTGGGGGGGGGGGGAGAGAGGGGGAGGGCAAAAAATACACTACGCCGAGGCATATATCAGTAAAGAATAGACAGCCCTGAGAGAATATGTGATACCAGAAGGGAAGATACCGAAGAAGATGTTCCTTGGTAAGCAGGAGCAGGCTCTCGTACTTGACCTAACGTACACAAAAATATAAGGCCATTTGCAATGGCAGCCGAACCGAAGAGGGCCTAATAATATTCGTCGTGGACACAGGACCGAAAATGGACGCTGAGTGTTACAGCTCTAGGAGATATCGTGCCTTGATGTCCTCGTCTGTACCATCTTGGAAACTTCGTGCTGCTACAGGACTGAGTGCCAGCACATGAAATCGGCTTTAGGAAAACTCTCGCCTACTCGAGGAGCGTTGGAAACTTGAGGAAGCAGGGTGGTCTACAGTGGATAGAGAAATCAACGACCTCGCTGAACTCAGGCACCGAATCACGGTCGCGTGGCAGAATCTCTCGATGGCGCTCGTCCAGAAGGCTGTGGCGGAGTATCGTGATATGTGTTGTTGAATATTGGGGAAATGTCCGATCAGAAGATGATAAAGTGCTACTTATTTTGCCTTGAAGTTCGAGAGAATAAGCTTCTTTTTTTGCCTACCCCTCTTCTATATAGAGAAGGAAAGAGTTCAGGAAAGAGCCATATTCCTCAATCCGCTTAATACGGTGGTGAAATTGCGTGTAACATAATTGCCGCAAAGAATCGTCGACGAGATCGAGCAAAGTCCATAGAAAAGTAACTCTAGCGACGTAACAATGATAATGGTTAAGAGGGAGCTACAAACCCAGAAAGTGAGTGGGAATCACAATGATGACTCGCTCTGTAAATTGCATCATTGAAACATCGCGTGTTAACTGAGACCAAGCGGTTGTGTAACCGCACGTTGCCCACCTACCTCGCTCCCGATCCGTACAATCCTTGGATCGGCTTGAGCAGGCCAACGAAACCGTCGCGTTTCTACTTACGTTGAATTGGTCCCGAACACGGTTGGGATAATGAGAACACTGATTTGCCTGACGTTTCGACAGTCTTGTCGTTTTTGAAGGCCTGAACTGAAACTCGTTGAATACTATGTATCTATGCGATTCGGGCCCGCCCTCAACTAATTGCACTCCAGACCAAGAACTACAGTCGAAAAGGGAACAGTAAGTTACCTCGTCAGTTCTACCAGCGCCGAAGATTTGCTCACATCTCGTCACACAATGGAGCAAATGAGACTCACTGCTGCGCACTGCCATAGTGTGATAAAGTGCGTACGTGCAGTGCATTACGTTCTCACTGTTAAAGCCCGCAAAGTGGAATGTAGGGCAAGAAATCGGCAGTCACTGAGATGCATTCATTCCTGTTATTCATAGATGGATTACGGTGCTTTATCCAGAAAGCCTCGAGAGTTTTCCTAGCACCAACATCATTTTCGTGAGCCAGTATCGTACACTTGATATCAAAATCACAGCCGCCATGATTTTCCCTCCTATGCTTGCCGAGCGGTGCAACTAAACTTTCGCGTCTTTTGCTAGCCAGGTGTTCTTTTACGCGTATACATAATTGCCTCCCAGTTTCACCGATATATAATGCGCCACAAGTCAAACATTGTATCTGGTAAATTACAGCCCATTGTGTACAGTCACCCACTTTCCCATACGGACAGATCACGCAGTTTTCCATGGTGCAGGTTCGGTCATAGAGGCGATTTCTGACCAACTGGTGTTTGTTATTGTCCTTTGGTTTATTTACCAAAAGAACGTCGTTGGTCAGATCAGCTCTTCAGAGGCACTGTTAACTGCGGTAAAGTGATCCAATATGAAGGGTAGCTAAAAAATTTACTCCATTTTCAGCGCTGTGTGGGAAGACTCTCGGTGTGCTTCGCGTGCGCCGCTGCTGCCAGGCTGTGTAACCGTTGAGATTAGCTATTCGGGTGGCTAATCTCCTGGATTCTTCTCGCTCCTCGTTGCCGGTGCAAACCCTTACTATATATAATGCCACAAGTCAAACATTGTATCTGGTAAATTACAGCCCATTGTGTACAGTCGCCCACTCTCCCATACGAATAGATCACGCTTTTCCATGGTGCGGTTCGGTCATAGAGGCGATTTCTGACTAACTGGTGATTGATATTGTCCTTTGGTTTATTCACCAAAAGAACGTCGTTGGTCAGATCAGCTCTTCGGAGGCACTTTTGTATAACTGCAGTAAAGTGGAGATATGACCATTACCCGGGAGGTACTTTTTACAGATTAGAGGATTTGCAATGGGGCAACGGGTAGCAACTGTCCTCGCTGTCTGCTTTATGAGCAGAATTGAACGTCGTGGCTCGCTCACCCATTCTGTACAGCCGATACATCGATGACTGTAGGGATTTGCACGGGCAACGAGGAGCGAGAAGAATCCAGGAGATTAGCCACCCAAATAGCTAATTTTGAAGGTTACACAGCCTGGCAGCAGGGAGGCATGCGAAGCACACCGAG